CCTCCTAAAGGCACAATACTGTAAATACACACACACACACACACACACACACACACACACACACAGTCAGGGGCCAGTATCATCTCTGCAAACACGCGCTGTCAGCATATATCATACAGAAAATCCCCTGCATTCCCTTCAGCCTGTGTGGTCAGGCAGCTGTGTGTTTGGCCACAGGAAGTGAGGAGCTCAGCCGCTTCCTGTGTGTTTACTGATGCACTGATAACATGTTTCTGGAGGCGTGGCTCGTGTGGCTGTGCATCGCACCTGTTTCTGGAGGAACAAAAGCCGCTGTTCTTCTGACCAGATTCCTGAACGTGTGTCAAACATCAATCTGAGGAGCAGCAGCTCACGTCCTTCCACTTTTGGACCTTTAAAGAATAGCACAACTGTTTTCAACATTGATAATAATCAGAAATGTTTCTCGAGCAGCAAATCAGCATATTAGAATGATTTCTGAAGATCATGTGACACTGAAGACTGGAGTAATGATGCTGAAAATACAGCTGCGCATCACAGAAATGAATTACAGTTTAACACATATTCACATAGAAAACAGCTATTATAATTGTAAAAACATTTCAGATTTTTACTGTATTTTTAAACAAAGAAACGCAGCCTTGATGAGCAGAAGAGGCTTCTTTCAAAAACTCCAAACATGTATGTTTTAGGTAATAAGTCATTTATATTGTAATATTATATAATTTATACTTACACTATTACATGTAATATATTTTAACATTTTATTTTTATATTATTATTAATATTATAAATATCAAACAAATAAAAGAATACATACTGTATTATCAATGTAATAATATTATTTAGAGTACTTTTGGGGAACAAGACAAAGAACAGAGGAACCAATGGCATGAATACATGAGGGCAAGGGAAGCATGATACAAACAGGGACCATGAACCAATTACAAAATAAAAGACATGAAAACATAAACATGAAACAAAACCCAAACACCACATTACATCCCCCCCCTCTAAGGGTGGCTCCAGAAGCTCAAACAAAACCCAAAAAGTCCAGGAGGGTGGTGGAGTGGAGGCGGAACTGGGGGAGGGATGGAGGGCCAGGCCCATGAAGGTGGAGCAGGCAGATCGGGCAGCCATGGCGGAGCAGGCAGAGCAGGGAGCCATGGCGGAGCAGAGACATGGACAGACCACTTTATTGTGACGGAGCAAGCAGAGAGTTCTTGAATGGCCTCCTTGGCCGTGGCAGGACAGACAGTGAGTCTATGAACGGCCTTCTTAGTGATGACAGGGCAGACAGTGAGTTTGTGAACGGCCTCTATGGCCGTGACAGGGCAGGCAGTGAGTTCCACCACCTCAGGAGGTTCTGCAGCGGATGCCGCCACCTCTAGAGGTTCTGCAGCGGAATCAGGCACAGAAAAGGCCCTTGGAACAGACTCGTGGATAGGAGAGGCCTCTGAGACAGACTCGTAGGCAGGAGAGGCCTCTGAGGCAGATTCATGGACAGGAGGTGCCTCTGGAGCGGACTCATGAACAGGAGAGGCTTCAGGAGCGGACTCGTGGACAGGAGAGGCCTCAGGAGCGGACTCGTGGACAGGAGAGGCCTCAGGAGCGGACTCGTGGACAGGAGAGGCCTCAGGAGGGGACTCGTGGACAGGAGAGGCCTCTGGAGCGCAGTGTGCAGCCCACACGCTCAAAATGGCGACCGCCATTAAAGTAAGGGCAGCAGAGGGCAGCAGGACCTCTATGACTGTTGGGCTTGAGAGCACTGATGTCACTGGGATGCCTGCAGCTTGCACCAACATCAGTGGTAAGTCCATCACGCTAGCTATCAGTGTTTTCAGTCTTGGCCCAAGCTCCACGTCCGACTCAGGCGTGGCGGCCATCTCGGCCGGGGACTCAGGCGTGGCGGCCATCTCGGCCGGGGACTCAGGCGTGATGTGATGAGACTCTAGAAGAGCGGCCATTTTGCGAAGAGACTCTTGTGTGGCGGCCATCTTGCGATGAAGCTCTTCAATGGCGGCCATATTGTGAAGAATCTCCTGAGTGACCGGCATGATGTGAGCTGGCTCGGGCTTGGCAGACGTGACGTGAGCAGGCCCTGGGGTAGCAGACATGACATTAGCAGACTCTGGCTTGGCAGACATGATGTGATCAGGCTTTGACATGGTAGATATGACATGAGTAAACTTTGACTTAACTGGCATGATGGGAGCAGGTCCTGGAGTAGCGGGCATGACGTGAGCAGGCTGTGGCTTGGCAGACGTGACGTGAGCAGACCCTGGAGTAGCAGGCGTGACGTTAACAACTCCAGACATGACAGTCGGGATGGGAAGAAGTTCTGTTGTGGCAAGTACTGTAGGATAGCTGTGTTCTTCATCAGCAACCCCCACAGTAAATGCAGAGCCACTCAATCGCAATGCATAGTCTATATATTTCTCAAGAGTCCATTGAGGGGTATTGCGTGGCATTAAATGTGATATGTTTTTAACCAAACCAAAACGAAAAATGTCTTTCAGGAAAGTGTCATGTAAGTCCACCAAATGACTTACATGAAGAGGCATGAAACAGAATTGACATGAACAGACTTGACTCACCGACAGCAGGTTACAACATCAATACACGACGAGAGACAATGGCAACATGAGGGCTACTTATAGCAGACAAGAGGGTCACATGACAAGAACAAACCAATGGGGAACAAGACAAAGAACAGAGGAACCAATGGCATGAATACACGAGGGCAAGGGAAGCATGACACAAACAGGGACCATGAACCAATTACAAAATAAAAGACATGAAAACATAAACATGAAACAAAACCCAAACACCACATTACAAAGATACTTTTTTTAATATTCACATATTTGTTTTATATTTATATTCTTTTATGTTTACGTTATTTTTCATGATTAATGAAAAATAAAAGCCTTGGTGAGCATAATAGATTTAATTTTTTTTTATATATACTGCTTATTAATACTCTGATTGAATTCATGAAACAAACATGTTTTATAATGCTCTCTCAAATGCATTTTCATTCCTCTACAAGCAGACGTAAACCTGAATCACCTGCAGTGTTTTTCTTTGAATAAAAGGTTATAAAGTTCTCAAACAGACCCAAAAGCTGCTTTCATGAGGTTTGCAGCAGTGATTTTAAGCGTGCATGTAAAAGTCAGAGCTGCAGAAATGTGACCGACAGATTTGAGGCTGTTTATGGACCTTCCAACCTTTTTAGATCCGACAGCTGGGTGATTTTCTTCAGCAGGTGGACTTTTATTCAGCAAAACCTCAAGCAATCTCTGACACGCTGAGTTTTAAACCTGACGAATATTACGAAATGCATTTGGACGTTTTGATAATACGTCACGGGTCACACGTCTCACAGAGAAATGAAATGTCAACTGCTTCTTCTAGACAGCATGTGAGATTAAATGGAGAACAAATTAAGTTCTGCTAAAGTCTCAGATGTCTGTCCTGAGGAAATAATACAAAAAGAAAAAGGAATCCGCAAACCAAACAAACTCCAAAAAAAAAAAAAATTAATTACTGAAGAATTACATGGAAGCAGCAACAAAAAAGTGCAGTAACAAAAATGTGACTGTGTGTGCACACAAACAAAAAGCAAAAAAACAAACGGTTCAGTCCGTACTGGACTATCTTCATACCCTGAAGAAAAACCCACAGTAATCTCTGTTTAGAATTTCAGAGGAGATCTCAACAATGTCTCAAACTGTGCTCAGATTTCTGTTTCATTTTATTTTAGTTAAAGTTTTAGAACATTTATTTGTTTATTTCTGTGTTTTTGTGATTTTTATTAGCCTACTGTTTGTTTGTTTGTTTGTTGTTATTTTAGTTCAAGTTAAACTAAAAATAAGAGAAACGTTGCTTTGGTAATGAGCTGAAGTTTTAAAATAAATGTTATGACATTTTATTTAATTTTATTAACGTTTATTAACATCTTTTTTACAAGCTGAAATAAAATACATTTTCTATATATTTTATTTTATTTTAGTTAAAGTTTTAGAAAATGTCTGATTTTGTCATTTTTATTAGCCTACTGTTTGTTTATTTGTTTGTGTGTGTCATATGTTTATTATTTTTTTATTTCAGTTTTAGTTATTTTAGTTCATCAAGTTAAACTAAAAATAAGAAGAATATAAGAAATGTTGCTTTGGTAATAAGCTGAAGTAAAATAAGTTTTATCTACATTTACATTTAGTCATTTAGCAGACGTTTTTATCCAAAGCGACTTACAAACGCAATGACCACATTACACTACATTTATGTAGCTCTAGAGCTGTATTGATACTGTCACCATATCAGCTAGAGTGCTAACAACTTACTAACCACTAGATGGCGTGATAAAATGTTTATTATAAAACGGAGAGTTACGGTCCTTGATTCTGATTGGCTGAGCCAAGCTCAAAGCTGTTGTAAATTACTCTACAAACACACGCTTTTGTTTACATTTGTGTGTTGTTCGGCAGCCACTTTGTTGCAACCACAACCGTTTCGGAAGAACTTTTTGTTTGGCGGAAGAATACGGTTTTTATTAATATCATTACACTTTATTTGCTCCGTTTTATTTTGTGAAACCTTACTACGTATACGGAATAACCGTTTTCTAAAAGCAATAAGCCCCTTATTGTGATATAAAAAAATCGTATTAAATAAATATTTAATTTATTTTAATTTTATTTATTTAAATAAATAAAAATATTTTAAATACTGTATATACAAATACTTTTAAAAACCTGTATGCAAATTAAATACTATATATACAGTATTTAATTTGTATATAAATATTAAAAATACTAATGTCAATTTAATTTACATTAAATTGCGCGCACACACACATATAGTACAACAATGTAAATTGAATTTTGAAAACATTGATAAAGACTATATATATATATTTACACACACACCATATCTTTATAGCAAAAGCTATTATTCTGTATTCATTTTACTAAATCAATAGTGTTAAAAAGTTCGCAAAATATTTGCATGCTCTCTGAACATTCAACGAAGCAAACCTGACACACAGTCAGTTTTTATGACTTGATGCAAATCATGTTCAGAGAAATGAACGAGTCAATAAATGCAGACTGTCATTTTTAGTAATTATTCAAGAATAAACAAATATGGTTCCTTCACATGTAACAAATCATAACAGCGCATGAATGTGTGCAAAGCAAACTCATTTGCAAATTTTACACATATTTACGAAACAATATTTAATGTCAAAAGAAAAGCGGTGGGCAGTGTCGTCCATTGTTATGTTATAATATAGACATTTCCAGCCCATCATCATCAACTAAAAGAGACTCTTATAAATACTTCTAAACAGGTCATCCACACTTATTTCATGTTGAAACTGAGAAGCTCGACTCGTGTCCGGTTCTTTCAGGGCAGAGATCCAGACACCGTCTCTTTCTGCTGCAGCTTCAGGACCAGTTCCAGCAAATTCATCTGCATCATCACCTCCTGTGACGGACAGAGCGGACAGCGTTTGAAAGAACGAACGCAGACGACGCTGAGAGGGAGAAAGAGTGAGAGTGAGAGTGAGACTGACCTGTGGGTTGGTGGTGATGTAGAAACCCGGCACGCCTGCTTTCTCCAGCGTGTTCTGCTGATCCAGAACCTTCTGATCCATCTCAGCCACGACCTTCTCGTCCATCATCCTCTGCTCTTCTTTCACCCGCTGATCGAGAGCCTGAAACAGTGACGGAGGAGAGACAGGGTTTGCTGAGGGACTCAAGAAAAAAAAAAAACACAAAACACACACTTGGGTGGCCATATGTCCTTTTTGTCCCCCCAGACATTTCATAAAAATGTGCTCCTGGAGCACAGAAGCAGTGTTAAGTCGCTGGGGGATATTTGTAGTAATAGCCAACAATACCTTGTATGGGTCAAAATTACCCTTTTCTCTTTTATGCCAAAGATAATTAGGATATTAAGTAAAGATCATGTTCCATGAAGATATTTTGTAAATGTCCTACTGTAAATATATCAAAACGTAATTTTTGATTAGTAATATGCATTGCTAAGAACTTCATTTGGACAACTTTAAAGATGATTTTCTCAATATTTAGATTTTTTTGCACCCTCAGAATACAGATTTTCAAATAGTTGTGTCTCAGCCAAATATTGTCTGATCCTAACAAACCATACATCAATGGAAAGCTTATTTATTCAGCAAATCTCAATTTTTTTGTTGTTTTCCAATTGCATTATGTGTGTATTTGCATTGCTTTGACTGTTCTCTGCAGACCCCACCTTCTGACATGCCATGATTTTGGCAGATTGTGTACATTTCTGAACTGATTTCACTGCATTTTAGAGGGATATGATGCCTTGGCACTGAGTAACTGAAACTTACTAAAACTGAAATAAATACAAATTAAAGTTTATAAAATAAAAAAAAGATAAAAAAAAA